TAAAAGATGAATCGTCCTCGTGCTCCTCTCTGTCTGTCTGTCTGTCTATCTCCCTCTCACCTTTCGTCCTCTTCCTTTTTTTTTTTTTGAACCATTTTTTTTTTTGTTGCCCCACTCGATCGAGTTCGGATACAAATTATGCTTCATTAGGCCAGATAACGCCCCAGATCAAGGCAGGAACATATATCCAACAAATACATTGGCCGCATGCACATACGTTTGTATGATTGATTAATGCTTTTAACATGTCCGCGGCAAATTGGAATGGAATGGAACGCAATGGCATTGGAATTTTCCGGCGATAGGCGGGAAAAGCCCGGCTAACGGTCAACCGAGAACATTTTCCATTTGATTTTCAGCTAATAACATTTCGCTCTTTTGATCTCCAAAGAAAGTGGGAATAGTTAATTATCGAAAGGTAAGGATTAAAAAGGGTTAGGAATTGATAGTTTGTATTACTCTCTAATTTATTACATTTAAATAGTAAACTGAAACTACTCAACAATTTAATTCAATATGGTTGGAAATAATTAATCAATTGCTTTTAATTTCTGAAGGATATTCGAACCTTTAACATACATTTAGAGACATGATTAAAAAAACGAATTTGCAAAACCAATTACCACTGCGTACATTTTGAAAAAGCCGAAGCGAAGGCTCATTAAGTGTTTTTTTTTTCGGAGGATCCATTTCCCACCGAATTTTGTTTTATCACCTTGTGTTTTTTGAGTTGTTTTTTTTTTTTTTTTAACTGACCAGCTGCAAATTGTTCTTTGAAATTCGCGCGTGCCAAAAATAAATTTCAGCTTAAAAGTGAAACAAAACGTAAAAACGGAGAGGGGCCCGTGTTTTATTTTCTGAGGATGTTACCTGCTGACTTCTGTTTCGGTTTCAGTTTCGGTTTCGGTTTCTGTCTCGTTTTAATTTTTATGGCTCGGAACCCTTGTCTTAAATACGTTCGTTCGTTTCATTGCCGTTGGCAGCTGTTTGTCGTTTCGTTTTGTTGACCCAAATTTCTTAACCGAAGATTTCTATCAGACGAGCCTGGCAGAAGTGCATTAAAAACCCTTTTTTTCTGGCCGTAGGGTAACCCTTTTCATTGGTTTTTGGTCTAGTGAAAGTTCCTTGGCGCGTGACTTTCGGGGAGGGAAGAGAAAGATGGGCAGAGAAAGCGATGGCCGGCCAGCTGTTGGCTGCTAACTGTAAATGTACCGTTAGGTTCTTAACCCCCGGAGAAAGTGGTCGCTTGCCATTTGCTCAGATCAATCTATTAACAAAGGAAATGGAAGATGGCAAAGATATGTTTTGTTCTTATAATAGCCTAGACCTATTTATTCTACCGTTAGCAGGCGAGTGAAAGTTGTCTTAGGGGTTGCAAGAAGAAGAACATGGCAGATGTTTCAGAGTACCGTTGCTTTCACGAAAGAATTGAAAGTCCTTTTAAGCGAAATCAACTATGAACGAGAATAATAAATAGAATTTATAATAGTACCAATTAAATAGTTATTTAGATAAGCAAAATGAAGCAGTTACAATTCCAACCACAAACATTTATATTGACAAAGGAAAATCCTGTTTCCCAGGCTTACCCAAATTACACATTAGATTTGAAAGATTTCCACACACACTCGGCACAGAAAACTCACCTGCAACGAAAAGGGGAACGAAGAGAGAAAATTAATTTCAGTTTGTAGAAAGAAAGAATAAAGATGAAAATGAGCACTCTTATTAATAGACAATCAATCAGCGGGTTCCGACAAAAGGCCGACAGCCGCCTTTGTGGGCAAACCAAAACCGATCTTGGCCAGCATACGAGCATTGCATCCGTGGACCTGGAACCACAAGATAATGGCCACCGTAAGGCCGCTGTGCTCTGCAATTAAGCGGCAATTCAATTCAGAATCGGAATTGGAATCGCAACGGCAACGGCAATGGAAATGACCAACGGCCAATGGGCAATGGGCAATGGAAGTGGCCAAGACATGGGCACAATGGGCCAACGGTGCGGAGTCAAGTGCAAACACTTGCGACCTGTCAGCGTCCAACGGCCAACAACAATGGCCTTCTCGCTTTTCCGCTCTGCGAAATTGATTAAACTCATTCATAATGACAACGGCAGCAGCTCCAATAACGAGTTCTAGAACTCTAAGACGTTGATATTTTGCCCTGGCAACAGGGCTTGCAGACCTTTGATCGGTTTAAGAACAATATTATATATCTTAAGATAACTATAACAAAAAAAATAATTACTAAAGACTCAATTTAGCTATAACTTTCAAAGTCATTTGTTTTCTTTTTCCTCAAGTCTTATGTATAATACTTCTGTATAGCTCATTTATATATCCAAATTCCTAGCTGTTGTACTCAAAATGAGAGTATCTCCCTGTCAGCAGTCAATTGTGGCTAATGAACTAATGGACACTTCATGGCCAAAAGCGAGCCGAGAAAAATCACTTTTCTTTCTCTTTTTCTTCCAATTGCTTGCGGCCTAAATAGTGTGACCAGCTTCGCTTTGCACGGACGAGAGGGAGTGGCAAAAAAAGGGGGGAGAAAGGAAGGGCGTGGCCTGCAATTTACACACGCGGCACAAATGGGGGAAAAAAGATATGATCCAATTCAATTTAAGCGCGTGTCGCATGGCGAAGGTAACAACAATTTCAATGCATATATTTGTATTCGCAGTGACCCAGCTGCAATTGGTGTGGTTGCTGTTGTTGTTGCTGGTGTTGTACAAATGCAATTACAACTAAAACACACGGTAGGGAAAACTCGGGGGAAAACGGAGCGGAAAAACAGGGGGAAGGGCCAGCGCACAAACGAAACACGAAGAGCCAACACTCAAGCAATGAGATGGGGGCAAAAACGGACTGGGGGCTATAATTTTTTTTTTTTTTTTTTTGCTCCGCCCACTTTCCCACACCCATCGCGGCGAATGACGAATGAACGCGCATGGGGGAAAACTAAGGTGAGGGTGGGAAAGGGTATGAAAATGTTAACGCCATGAACTTAATCGCAATTAATTAAATACTTTTACAGATATTTGGTCACTTTAGAGCTTTAAACAAACAGTTGGTCACATTACTTCGGAACTACTAATAAACACTTGGCCCTATTACTGCAAAACTTTTGGTAAATATTTATGTCTATTACTTGAGAAACGATTAAAACTGCAATATTCTTTTCAGTAGCCAAGTTATTTTTGAGAAATCGAAAAGTTACGGTTCTGGCGTAAACTAGAAACCTGGCTGTCAATTAAAACCCATAAATATTCTTGGCACTTTTAGTTGAAAGGGTTTCCATTGCTCCTCATAATTTTGCATACCGAAAAAGGAAATGGGAATCAATCTTCCCTTTTCCTCGTGATTTTCCCTCAAAATAAGAAAGAGATTGTAGGTACAAAGCAAAAACAAAAAAAAAAAAATGCGAAGCACCAGAAGAATTGAAAGGCGTCTGCATTTAGATGAGACAGAGTGGGAGAGGCAATTCCGAGGGACGAATAAGAGGCGGTTTTCCTCTCTAGGTGACGAACGTCATCGTCGCCGCACTCAAATCGTGGGAAAATGTTTTTCATGCTCCTGTTGCTGTTGTTTCTGTTTTTCTGCCGTTTTTATTGTTGTTGCCACGTTGCTGTGTCTATGGGTGTGTTGTTGGTATTGTTGTTGTTGCTAGTTGTTTGTCGGCTGTGGGCTGATGAAAAGCTTTTTTGCCGCTCGCCGCAATTCGTTGCGCTGCATTAAGCAGGGCAAAAACACTAAAAATAAGAAAGGCTCGATCTGTTAAACGGAGGATTTTAACTAATATTCTCTAACAAATGAATAATCGAATTGATTTCTTACTTGTATTGTTATTTTTTCACCTAATAAATTAATCTATAAATTATTCGGGTATTTATATCTTTTACTATTGAACTAATTTGCCATTATTTAAAAATTAATTACAGGAGTAAAACGTGAGTTTAGATATTATTCTCATACCATACACAATATTTTTATGTTACTCAAAAATACTTTGCTTCTTGCACAGCCGACTTGAAGTACTAATTTGAGTGCCTCTGTCAGATTATAGAGCACTGCCTTGCATATATGTACGTATATATGTATTTTAATTAGTGATATATACAAGGCACAAAACGCAGTGGCGAGTCTAGCTTTTCACCTGATCCGCCTGCCGTTGGCCCCCGCGCTTTCAAACGCTTTCAAACGCTTTCTTCGCTTATCGCACACGCATGCCATGCCCTTGGTCTTCCCCCTGTCGCCACCCACCACCCACTAGACCACCAACCCACCGCCCACACGAGCGCACTTTGGCTTCGTGTTATCAGCGGCGAAAAAGCGCCAACGTTTATCGCCAAAACGGCTGAGCACTTGCATATATGCAATTCCAAACAATTTCTCCGCTGGGCAAGTTTTGTTTCTAATTGAATTTCTAGCGTTTTCAATTTCTTTTTGTCAGCTTGCCTTTGTTTTATGGCTCTTTGGACTGATAATACACAAGCAAATGACTGATAAAGTCAAAGCCGGCAATAATAATAATAACAACAATAACAACAGCAACAACAACAATAAGTAGTACAAACTACAACAACACGACGAATTTATATTTTTGTGACAGTTCAAGGCATTTGCGCTTTAGCACCACGACAGAATGTCTGCCATTTAATGAAAAGGTGAGGAAGAAGTCGTTTTCCTGGTAGAATATAATTTCTAGAAGCTTTGCTGTTTTAGGTTTAATAATTATTAAAATTCTTAAAACAAGTATTTAATACTATATTTGCTTATTTATTTTAAATGAAAACACCAGTTCAAAAAAACACTTAAGTCCAATCCAGTTACCAACAAAATATTTTTCGCCATAAAATGCTTAAACTTTCTCAAATCTTTACGTAACTGACATATTTCCAATTACCCCACTGCGTATACTTGACGCATCGCGTATACGCCATGTTGTGTAAATGTGTTTGTGATCGTGCACTATATACCATTTCACGCGACTTGACTCACCCTGTTTGCTTATGCAGCAGGCAGCGGTAAATAGAACAAGAATAATAACCGCTCTTTGCAAAGATTATTATTACACAAAAGCCGAAGATTAATCTCTAAACGATTACTATTTTATATTTATCAGTTGTTTCCTTAATTTATTTATTTGGTATATGCATGTGTTTGCCTTTTGGACTTTCTTCAACTTGATATGCGTTATGCATGCGTTTGAAACGTGGCGTTCATTTCTTGTGCATTTTTTTGCATATTACACAAACACCGAAAAAAAAAAAACAAAAATATATAAAATATTAAATGTACGACGGCGGATAATTAGGGGGAATTATGAAGGCGAACGGCACGAACTGAAAGGAATTTCTGCCTTTGAACACGTAGACGCGACGCAGACGCGATGACGACGCGGCAGCGACGCAAACGGCGGCGTCAGCAGAAAACGCGTGCAGCCTTGAGAAGATCGCGATAGCGACTGAAACACCAGCAAAATTCACCCAGAACATGCAAAAATCACACCTACAAAACCAAAAAAAAAAAAAAATCAAAAACCGCGAACTTTTGGGGATTTTTGCGCGCGTTTTAAAACGCGCGCGCACGCCCAGGAAGGATGTGTGTTGCTGCTGTGCCTGCAATTTTCGTTGCTGATGTTGCCGCTGTTGCTGTTGCTGTTGCAGTTGCTGCTGCTGTTGCAGTTACTTTTTGCCGCTGCTGCTGGTGGCTCAAACTTCGCGTTGCAGTGGCACTGAGAAACGCGCGACGACGCACACAAATAACTAACTAACAGCGGCTGTAGTAAAATGACAACTGAAACCGCAGCAGGCGAAATGAAAACGAGTAACGATAGAGCAAAAAAAAAAAAAATATAAAAAAAAACAGGCACACACACAAGCCACGGCAAAATAAATAAAATAAAAATTGACGATGGGCAGCGGCGACGATGACGGCAAACGCAGCTGCAGTTGGCTAGTTCTACGGGCCAGAGATGCCAAAAACGCCGGCCAAATACCAGGCAAATCAGCGTCAAGATAAAGGTACTTTCTATTTCAGTTTTCAATAAAAAAAAATTTTTAAAATACATCCTACTTAGTAGGTTGAAAGAAAGGATTTCTAATGTATTTTATACTTCTCCTTTGCTTCAATATATTAAAAAGCTAATATTGTTCTACCAATTTTAAAAACAAATTAAAAAAAAATTTGATCTGGAATTGAGTACTCAAACTTTTGCCAGAATTGATATATAGTAACATATAAAGGTACCCATTTGTATCCTACAGGAAAATAATGTTTACTTGACTTTTTGTTTAAATTAATATGTATCTTCAAGAAATCTAAAAAATATAATTTAAAAATTTATAACTTTTTTCTTTTTCTTAACCTAGATCAGCACTGATTCTAACATTCTTTTTGCTAACTTTTCACTTTTAGCTGCATTTGTCGACGAGATGTGGAGCGAGCGAGAAGCTGTCGGCGCTGCAGGTGAGCGGGACGGAGGGCGAGTGCGACAAGGACGGGGCGAGAGCGAGAGGTGGCACTTTGCTGCCACGCTTCGTCAGCTGTTCGTTAGTCGCTTTTTTTTATTTTTGTTTTTATTTGTCGTGTGTGCGGAAGTGCAAAGCGTGGCGTTGGCGACGACGCCGGCTGAGGCGGTAGCGTCGACCGCGGAACGCAGCAGCGTAAGTGCAAGGCCAAGCGCGTGCGAAAGGGATGGCCTGAGTGGGAGACATTGTGGAAGGGGGCAGTCTAGTAGAGAGGGAAACAAAGAATTATTCACTACATTTCCTAAACTACAACTATTTTTTTTAATTTTATTTTTATTTTGTTGAAAATTATTATTGACAAAATAATTATTTAATTGTTGTTATTAATAAATTATTATTTTAAAAAAATATATATTAATTTCATATTCTTTTTTATGTTTTAAAGGCTTTTTTAAGTGATCCTTTATATTTATCGTTTTAGTCATTTTTTTGCCAAATTAATATACACACCTTTCTCCTTTTTCAATAAAAAGATTATATTATTCATACAGTACAGCTTTATTTATTTCCCAAGTGTATTTGTTTGTTCTGTCTGGCAAGTGAAACTGATCGCGTTAGAATTGCGGATAGCGCGTGTTTTTCCATTCCCCAAGCCACCACCCACTCTTAACCTATTTAACACCCACAGCCGTACAAAGTGTTGCTCAAAACCAGGTTGTGAAATTTCATTCCTTACTTTATGTTAAGACAATTTTTTAAAACGAAACATGTCAATAAATCCAATGAAATGCTGTATTCTTCCCCTGAATAGAAGCCTTCTTCCGCTCCAAGCCAAAAAAAAAAAAAAATAAACTCTCGCAATAGCACGCGCGTGCCCTTGAAAACTTAACCGAACAATCGAGCCAAGGCAGTTGTTGCCAACAGCTCCCGCCGCCCATCAACCATCCGCTCAGACCCTCACCGCCGCCCCCTGGCACATTCAAACTGTTTGCTGGCAAACAAAAGAAAGTGCAAAAAGTGTTGAAATTTTCTTTGCGAAATCAGCAACAAACGAATTCGAATCTCGCACGTAAAATGTTGCTAAGAGCCAATGTCCAACGTTTTTCATTGCCAAACACAATTTTTATACAAATGCGGTAGGGTTTTTCTTTTTCTCTCATTTTCTAGTCGCTATTTTTCACCTAGTTGCGCAAAAAGAACGAAAATAATTCGGCAAAAACTCAACACAAATCACAAGGTACGCCTTAGTAGGATCTTAAGTACGCAAGCAATGGGAAAAGGATATAAGTAGATTACAATGACACAGGGTTCAGGTTTGACTAAATTATTTCAAAATACGTTTGTCTATTCTAAAAATGTACTTAAAATTAAACCCAAGTTGTTCAAAATGCGTGAACATTTTTAAAATTTTATAAATTATGTAATTGGTGAAAATATCAACATTTTTCCTAAAATTATTTTTAGTCAACGATTTTGTCTTTTAAAAATTTAAGCTGGTAAAAAATTTCCAAATATTATTTCAGAAGCAAACATTTTTTCAAGTTATCATTTAAGCGATTGGGAATAAGTGTAAAAGGCAAAGACTTTCTTGGTATGTAAATAGATATTTACAGGCCGATTTACATATCTTTGCCGATCTGCACACATGTGCGGCCGTGTGTTTGTTTATTTTATTTGCGCACGCTGCCAATTGCGAGAAAAAACTACAATGTTCAAGGTCGTGCGGCGAATGCACCTAAAGCAACAACAGCCCAAAGCAACAAAAATAACAAACAATCGGTCATTCAGACGGTAACATACGCAAAATGTTTGAGTTCTACAAATTGCGAAAACTAGTGCAGGAACCAAATGTCTACACATACCCATACGGCGTACAGTAATCCCTCGTAAAGGTTTTTTCCGATTGAAAATTTCTTTCAAAATAACATTTCAAAAACTTGACGCTTCATCTAAAGTACAATATAAGATATTTTCCTTAAAAGTATCGTAATCTGTTTAAAGGTGTTTTCAACCATTTTTAATATAACCTTTTTTTTGTTTAATAGAATTTTACTTTGGTTTAAAAAGTCCTTAAACAATATCCGATCTGCTACTGTACGCCCTAACAAATATATCTGTGTGTGTAAACTTATATATATATTTGTGTGCATATATATGTATAACAACAATTTGCGCTCGTCAATTGCAAACGCGTCGCTGTCGACGTCGACGTCGACATCGGCAGAGGCAGTGGCAGCGCCAACGTCGTCGCAGCCATTGAATTTTCACTGTCAAGGTCGACCGTTGTTCTGATGCGCAACGCAATGCGCAATGCGATCGCCGAGTGGGAGTGCGAGTGCGAGCGAGAGGCCAGATCGCAGAGCGGGGGGGACGATGTGCGAACGAAAACGAGAACACAGCGGAGAACGAGTGCACAAAAGCTGTGGGAGAATGCGAAAATGCGAAAGTACGAAAATGTGAGAATGGAGAATGCACACGGACACTGCTTCCTCTTCTCCTGCTTCTTCTTTCCCCACAGGCGTACAGTGGGTGGAGATCGCTTTTAGTTTTCTGCTTTTGTTTCTCAATGTGAGCTTAAAAACCTAAAGAGATAACCCCAATTTAAAAGACAAAAAAAAAAAAAACGCGAAAAAATCAAAACATTATTACATTAATAGGCTATTAATTACTTAAAGTATTTATCTTTGCTTCTTATTTAATTATTTTCAATGGCGGAAGCTTTGCAATTGCCCCAAAAAGTATGCAATATTTGTCACCATATCTAATATAATTTGTATATAGTACTAAGTATTTTGCATACTATTTTTTATATACTGAAAACTGTGCGATTTTTTAAATATATACTTAACTTTAAACGGAGTTAAACCATCAGAAGATTTAAAATCTAGTGATAAAACCAATATTAACTCACTAGTTATTGAAAAATAAAAACTGTGGCATTTCACATTTAAAGTATACTTCACATAAATTTCCGTTAAAGTCTTGCCTTCCTTTAATAGTTTTTGAAAGACCCCCAGACCTTTTATTGTTTATCATTTGTTCGCCGATCACCTCTTGACCCACTGTGCGAATGTGTGTTTTAGTGTGTGTTTGTGTGGGCGCTGTGGCGGAAACGATATGCGACTTATGTAACGCGACAGCGACAACAAAAACAACAGCAACAACAAAAACAATCAGCGGCGACGCGTTGGCAGCGTCGAATGCATACGCACACGCTTCCACCGCCCACCACCCGACCGACCGACCGACCGACCGACCGACCGCCCCACCCCCACCACCACCACCGCCACAAGCGCCCCCTTTTACCCACCACCCTTCGCTAAACGCTTCCTGCACTTTGTTGCTCTTGTCGGCTACGCTTTTCATATCGCTCGGCGTCTGTTTTTCTCTGTGTGTACTCTTATTTTCTTTTCCCCCCAGTAACCCTCTCTTCTTTTTTTTTTTGTGCCTTTTGTGCTTTTTGCATGTTTTCCTATCGCATTTGTTTTCTCAAGTTCGCGCGCGGCTCTTGTGCAATTTGTCATAATACCGCCCCCGTTTCCCCCTGCCGCTCCCTTTCCCTTACCCAGTTCCATCCCCATTGCGCTCCTCCACTAACGACACCCCACCCACCCGCACACGCTGCGTATGCGTAATATTTCAAGAGAAGTGAAAAAAATTGCAGCGTTTTGTCAGCGGTAAAACGTAAACAAAAACAAGCCGCCGCCAAATGCACTTTTGGTCATAAATCAGCGAAGAGAATGGAAAAATCAGTGGTGGAGAAAAGGGTGGGGGGGGAATAGTTACAGACCCCAAGGCGCCACGCCCTCAACTGAACAAAATGAAGACATAATTTGACATAAGCGATGTTAAAGTTCACCAAATCTCAGCTCTCGAACATCAAAAGGCAACGGCAACCGAAAAAAGAAAAAGTAAACTAAAAAAAAACATGAAACGGGGACCCATAGATGCAAGAAAGATAATCCATGAAAAGCCGAAGTTTCGTATGCCCTTACAAGTAAGTTTATTACAATAAATATTTATTGGAAAAAACATTGACCGCAATTAAACGAAGCCTTAATAAACATTTCCACATAAATATTATATATCAGCACATTGTAATTATTTACATAAACAAAGGTTTCGAAATCCTTTTAAAAAGAGTATTTACAAGGAAAAAAGAAACATAAACCGCGAGAAAAAACTGTAAACAGTTGACTACTAATGATGTGGGCCAGGAGGAGTTTGTCTGTGATTGACTTGACTCAACTCAACTCAACTCAAGTCGACGACGGCTTTGCGCCTGCGCAGTCGGCACTTTTGGTGATAATGTCAAAGGCAAAGCCAGCGGTCTGCCCCGCCCCCACCGTTCCGCCGCCCCCTTTTTAGTACGCCCCGCAATGCTTAATCATGCAAACGGCAAGAAAACCGAAATGCAGCAGCAAATGCAGCGCCTGTCAAAGCTGCGATTAATCTCACTCACGGAGGAGCAGGATGAGGGGCTCAAAGTGCAGCAGTTGCAGTGCTACAATGCACAGTGGCTTAAAAGCCATAACAAATTTTCAAATAGGTTTCAAAAACCCCTTCTTGAAGGAATTATAAGCAAAATAAATAAAAAATTATGATATTATGCTTACGTTTATCTGTGAGTTTAATTGTAAACAAAAGGAGTGAGCTTCTGTTTAATATAAGGCTTCTTGAACTAAATCAAAATTTGCATTAAAATATTTTACTAATCAACCCAAAATAAAACCAAAATCATATAAGAACCTTTTTAATAGTTTTTCACTCGGCACTTCTCATGTTGGCACCACTGTTACCCAGGCATCGTCGGCACTCATAATTGAGATATGAACTTGGCAATATTTCATAAAAAGAAAATATATATAAAAAGAGCGAGTCGGAGGGAGAAAAAGCGGGCGAGCAGACTGACTGGTCAGCCAGCCAAGGAGAGGAGCCAAGGACCGACGACGATCGCGGCTTGTTCGTCTAGAAATAACTTAATTGTCACTCAATTACTCAGTTTTCAGCTAAAAGCATTCATTGCTCTGGCTTAACGTCAAAGTGGCGCACGGGGAGAACTGGGATGTGGATGTGGATGTGGAGCCATCTGGGAGTTGGAGCTGCGCGCTAAAACTCCGAGAGGAGAACCCGTTGCCAAGGCGTGAATAATAGTTGCAAAGACGCGTCTTGGCCACGGCCGGTGAATGAAAATTGATGAGTTGCGACAGTTTTTGGCCAAAGGGCAAAATCGCCCAGCGCAGGCAAAAAAAAAAAAAAAGAAAGGAAGGTCGGTCTTGAAACCGAAATGTTGAACACTCTATAAAGAAAATAATTTAAATATCTAGCTAAGTAATTATGCACATTTAAACAAAACAATTCTACTATTACCATTAATATTTATCAAAAAAACATCTATACATTTATTTTTATCAAACAAGCTTAACATATTTTAAAATCCTTTTAGATGTAAATAAAATATGTTGCACATTACATTTTAAAAGTCATCCACCTTTTTTGTGTATTTTTAAATGTCGCAAACAGTGGACCAAAAAAGTCATGCCATCAGAAAGGTCATTTGAAAAGCTAAATGCCTTAAATCGGGGCACGGCCCAGTAAAAAAAAGGGAAGGTTCCTCAAAAAAAAAAAAAAAAAAAAAAAAAAGGAGGACGAAGTAATGGACAAACTACTTTGTCATGGTCTCGGGGGATTGGCCATCTCAATGCAACTATCAATCAAATCGCTCGTGTGGGTGACCATTTGCGGCTGAAAGCAAACACTACAAAAGGTCAGCAATCCCTGATTGACACAAATGGATGCATTCATTTTGATCGGTGCCCACGATGATTGAACTTTGCTAATGAGCTTTATTGACCCCGAGGACAAGAGCGATTTTCTATAAAGTTTAGAACTCAATTGATTGATTGACAGGAAAGAAAGGTCTATTATTAAATTTAGAACTTTTGAATTTTAATAAAAGCTTCGCTAAAAGGAAGTATTCTTGGATTGACTGAAAAATTATGATGGACATTAAATGCTTATATGATTGATTTATTAAATTGTGAAAGGGCTCGCTCTCATTTTTTCTTATATTTATTTTATGTAAATTTGATGCGTTTTAAATGCTTGTTTATTTTCGATCTGTATGATTTACGCGCTCATTGAAATCACCTTTATGCTGTTTTTTTTTGCTCCAACATAATTACCAACATTTAGTGCGCCTTCCATCATGATTGATGCCGGTTTAGTGGGCTGCCATTGCAGAAAGTGCGCCTTGAAAAACAGTCTCTCCCCCACAATCGCCCCCTTTCGCCCATAGGCCTGCCATAAATCGCCATAAATCCTAATCAAAACTAAGCGCAAACAAGCTGAATTCAGAGGGGCGAAGTGGGGTAAAATGGAGGCACCTCTGGAACGTGAATCTATAAATCCATTAATGCCATTTACCGCATAAACATAAAGTAAACGCGGCCCAGAATGATCATTGCAGAGATGATGATGATGATGATGATGTTGATGCCACAGACTTTTCGGGGCATCAACACCAACGGCAAAATTTGGGATCCCAGATCCCAAGCCTCATGCCAACCTCCTGAAAGTTCCCCTGAACCAAAGCAATTGCTCCATAAAGTAAAACTAAATTGCTCAATAATTTTGTCCACATTTGATTATGTCTTCTGAGGGGGAGTCGTTGGGTGAGGAAGACAACCAGCAATGCACTGATAAAAATTACCATACTTCACATTATTAACAGAACATTAAACAATTTGTTTGTTAAATAATGAAATTTTTTGGAAACAAATTACAATTAGAGGTTTCTTATTTTTAAACCTTTGTAGCTTCCACTCCATAAATATGAGAAATATATTCATACTTTCAGTTTTAAAATGTATTTTTTTTTTTTTTAACATGTACAGTGAACTCTCCCTCGTGGAAGCCCCGTTCCTCCCCCCGCCCGACGACTTGCAGTCACGATTGTGCGGGGCAGGCCAACACTAAATTCAAAACCCATAAAGACATCAAAGCAGGCAACGCGTGTAACAATTTGCCAGCCAGCCAACAACAACCGAGGCAACAACAAATGCAACAAAACGCAAATTAACAACGGACCAACATACACTCACGGACAGGCCCAAAGGAGTCCGGAGATGTTGGGAGGACTGGGGACCTGGTACTTCGAGCCTGGAACTTGGAACTTGGGGACTACAAGCGACGACGACGACGACGACGACGATGACGACAACGATCGGTCGAAAAAAGCAGCGAAAAACAAAACAGCAACAACAACAACAAGACGACCTGGCCAAGGCATCCGCACCCGCACAACCGCAAGCAACAACAACAACAACGACAACAACATGAAAACAACAGCGGTAACAACAGAAACAACAACCTCGGGCTGCCCATGAAGATGCTGGCCAAAACGAAACTGGCAATACCCTAAATAGTAAATTAGGTTGAGAGGGTACTTCAAATCCGAAATATTGTAAAAGAATAGAATAAAGGAATATATATATTTTCAAATAATACTGAACAATATTTAAATCATTATTGATTGAAGATTGATTAAATATTAAAATAAGAAATCTATTTATGCTAAGAATAAGTATATTTTAAAGAACTCTTCAACAAATTAGTTTAGCTATTGATGCAGATGAACATGGCGTCAGTAGTTGACCAATAAGAAATTCTTAATTAACGACAAATTCTTTCAAAATTGTTGAACTCTACAAACATAATGTCCAAACATTTAGCTGGGAAAAATCGACTTCTCCTAAGCCTAATGCTCAGCCTTTCCTTTCCATTTCTTTCGGGGTTTCATAATTCCTCGATAACAGAAACAGCAGAGACTGGAGGCCACCCACATGACTGTCGGGACAGGTATTGTGGTATTCCGATCCTTGGATAGATGAACTCCAATCAACTGAATAGAGAGAGAGAGAGAGAGAGAGAGAGATGGAGATGAGATGCCCCTGGCTCACGATCGATGGTGGAGCTGAAATGCTCATTAAAAATGTAGAAAGCTCTCCCAAAGAGCCGCGATCGATAGCTCGATCTTGCCGATTGCCCGACCGATCGACCGATTGCCCCGATCGCCCGCTCGCTGTCAGCGCTAATCGCACGATCTTAATTTACAGCAACAACTGAGCAGGACGACCGACAGCGGACTACCGGCGACACCGATCACTTAGAAATGAAAGAGAGAGACAGAAATAGAGACAACGGAATATAGCGATTTGGAGTGGAGGAAGGAGCTCTACGATCCGATCTTGGCCAATTTGGCGAACGCAACTTTCGCTTTTGCCGACTGCTAACGATCGTCAATCGACGGCAATTTATTATTATGCAGCGATCGCTTGTTCGCATTTAATTCAATTAAAAGACGGTTAGAAATCATGGTAATTATGTTTCCAGGAAAGCCAAAGAACGGCAATCGTGTTCGCCGGCGAATGGCAAGTGTAATTTGTAATGATCATTAACCGATTCACGATTCCGCTGAGAAAGAGAGAGAAAGAAAAACGCGTACCAAATGCAATTTTCATGTCGTGATTGGTAAGCGATCTGGGAACTAGCAAAATTAACTGGATCAATCTTTAAACGATCTCTTATGTCACTTCAGATCACAAGGATTCATTTTACGTAAGCAAACAAGTTCACAAGAAATATAGGCAAAAGCCCTAAATTTCTATATTCATTTCCCCCACCTCTTAAAAGCTGCCATCAAGATCTGGTTGAACATCAAATTGCGATTGCAAATCCATCACCATCGGGCCAGAGAAATCAAATATGAAAAGAATTCAGCACACATGCAGTACGGAAAACTAAAATAACAACAACCAGAGCAACAACTTTGACAACATGGAACAACAACGCTTTCCGCTTTGCGATAAGGCCAAAAACCAAACAACCAACAACAATTGTTGGAGAGGCGTGTGTGGGCGCAATTTTCCATTGAATTATAATTTTTTCGTATTACAATTTTTCTTCTCCAACTTTACACAGAGAAAAAATCATATATAAATCTAAACATGTTTAGTACCATATTTCGAATGTTGATTCAATTATTGATTAATTGCAATTGATAAATTTTCTTGTAAAGTAAACAAATTTAACAGCATCTGTTATATCTGTAAACTGAAATGTATTTCCCTCAGTGCATCTATCGCTCTCTCTTTTACACTTATTGTGGATTTTGGCTTGTCATAATTTTCATTACATGTTTTTCTGCCATGTTTGTTGCTTTCGTTGGGGGTAAAACCAAAGCGAACCTATAAAGCCTGATAAAGATCTTTCCATAGAGAGTGCGGGCTGTGCAACAACAACTACAACAAGCACAGAAACAACAAAAACAACAAAAAAATTGAAGTAACAACAACAGCGAAACATTGAACAACAGAAAAATTGCAACAATCTGATAAAGACAACAACTGAACTCAACGGAGAGACTCAATTGCGGTTTGTGTCCCGACTTTTGAAAAAAAAAAAACGACAACAACAAAATTTGCAAAAAAAAAAAAAAAAAAAAGAAAAACTGCTAGAAAAAAGTGCGTGAGCTGGGGGTCTCTGAAAACTTGTGGGCTGTGAGTTGTTCGAGACAGTTTTGTCACAGGAATTATCGACACGAAATACTGACAACCGATACGACAAGTCAAATGTGTTTTTCTTACTCATAAAATCGAAATAAATTGATTAACCATATATTATATACTTCACTATACGTTCAATAAATATAAAATTATTATTATTTATAAAATAATTAAAATAACTTGGAGAATCAAACAAAGAAAAGGTTTTCCGGAGAGGAAACTTCATTTAAAAGACATTTGTGTCAAAACAAAACGACAGAAAACAAAACTTCGAACAAAACGCGCGAGTGTGCGCATGCGCCTTCGATTTTCCGCAGAGTTCCGCTGCCACGCCCCCCCAATGCCCGGGATTTCCATTGCCGCCCACCCACGCAGCCTCCGTTGACGGATTGAGAGATTTTCCTTTGGTAGTTTTTTCCCCCCTTTTTTTTGGCTGACTTTGCTGGCATGTTTGTTGGACGCAGTGGCGCAAATCGGGGACGCCATGACATTATAATATGTCAATTTTTATGCCGCTTGGCAGGCGCGTGTTAGAAAATGTCAAAATCCAGCGGCGCAGTCAAACTCTCAAGTCAGCCGAACAGCAATAATAACAACAACAACCAACAGCAAAGCCAACAACTACATCAAAAAAAAAAAACAGTAACAGCAACAACTCTATTGTGCGCCCACGCGTTTTGTTCGCGTTTTAAAACGCGACCACTGTGTGTGCTCATGTCAAGCCTCCGCCCCCTTTAACCCCCTAAAGCCCCCTTATTGAAGCAAAAAAAAAAAACTATAACCGAAGACACCCCACCCCCCGTTCAAGTTGTCTCGGCATGTTTGTACTCCGGAGGTTTTATACTTTTTTATTTGCCTGGCATCGAACATTTTTATGCGACTCCAGCGGACGCATTGTCAGGCGCACAGGGGTTAAAATCAGGAGCGGGTGGGGGGTTAATGGGGTTGGGGTTGGGTATCTTTTGCAGCACACACAACCCAAGAAAGTGCGGGTGCGGCTGCTCTACACTAAATTAAACTTGGTTTACCACAGTTAATATTTACTCTCAAAAAATCGTTCACCTCATTTAAGAATCGTATGTTAATAAAAATTACTAAGACTACTATTTAATTGTATTATAATGTTAATAAAAATTACTAAGACCACTATTTAAGGATCATAATTACACTTTCTGCAATATCCACATATTGGAATTTATAATTTCAATAAGTGTTATTTTTAAACATTTTTCTGGATTCAATAAATCGTTTTTATCATAAGAGCTTTCCTCTATTGCTTTCCAAAAGTTAGTAGCCCCCTGGCTAAAGGCCAAACTAAGCCAAACCCTCTAATCCGTTCAGGAATAACCCACAACAAAGGCCATATAGCCATTTTTCGTCGTTTATCACGCATCGCTGTCAAAATGTCACTTTAGCTTAGCGTTGGCAGGCGATATCTCAAAAGGAGAGGGGCACAGGTAGTGTGTAGTATGTAGTTGGTAGTTGGTAGTAGCAGCATCCAAAACCACTCCACACCTTCTAGTATTTTTTTTAAATATATCTTCTTTTTTTCCTCCGCAAAGCCGCTGCGCACGCGTAATAACGCATAACAGCGCAACAGCAACAAAATCACGTTAATGACAGCCAACGGGGGTATGGCATACCCCTTGGTAACCCCCATATCCAGTAACTTTTTCCTTTCCTTTCTTCTTTTTTTTCTTTTTTTTTACTCCTCAGGCGGTGGCTTCTCTTTTTTTTTGCTCCTTCTCCTTTCGGATGCACCTCAATTCGCCTGCGGGCTAAAATCTCGACCGCTGTTTTGTCACATCATTATCAGGTATCACTCCGCTTGCGAGTGAGCGAGACATCCAAGGTGGAAACGAGATAGAGTGATAGAGACAGAGAGAGAGAGAGAGCGAGAGGGGTATAGCTGTGTTGCATTTTCGACATTATTGACATGACAGCGAGACTTTAGCAGGTGTGAAGGAATTCGCCGTGCCTGACACTAAATCATGACCGCCGCCTTATACGTATGAGTGCGACTGTATGTCCGTGAGCGCGGAACTTTTGTCGGCGACTTTGATTGCAAGACGCTGGCCCGTCGAGATGACGATGATGATGTTGCCACCAGTGGCGTTAATAAAGTCATCTAGCGGTAAACACTGCGCGGCAAAACCGCGCAAAACTGCACTCAAAAAATGTCAGGTAATAAATTGCGGACATGTGGGAAATACGGTTTTTGCTTCTAGCTAAATAAACTGTTTAATTTGGTAATTATCCGTATACAAAAAATAATCTACTGCGAGATTTTTAAATAATAATCCAAGGTATTATGAAATTTTTATATAGTTAGTTTATCTATTTCCAAAATGAGAGGCTGTTTCAGTTTTCCACAACTCTTATAGGCATGCAAATATTTTTAAAAAACTTTTTTCAGTTTCTATACATACTAAATCCCTATCCCTGCTTATTAGTGTAATCAGCATTGTCAATTGAAACGTTTAACGAGAGCAGAGACTTCAGTGGATACCCAAGACCAAGACCGTCCGTTTGGATCCGATCGAATCGGATCGCATCGCATCGCCTTGCATCGCACCGTATTGGATCACCTTATATCGGATCGGATCGCCTGATGAAGTCCCAGTGCAGTGCGGACGGACATCGAGCAGCGAGCAAAAAAGAGTCCAGCAAGGCGGCAACAAAGTGTGCGCCTTGTGGTTGTTGCATGAATAATTCATAACAGCGGCACCAGTTAATAACTGAGCCGCAGTCCGCCGCACAAAAAGTGAAAGCTCATAAGGCAATCAGTCAAAACGTCATCAATAGAATTAAGTAATCAACTCGGGGACCCAAAACAGCAGCGACGGCAGCAGCAGCAACAGCAGCAGCAAACCAAAACTGACCACACACAACAACGGACCAGTGAAGGCAACAATGGCCCAGCAGTAAAAGTATAAAAAAAAAAATTGCA